TTAAAATGTGTTATAAAAAACCCCATTAACAAACATCATCGAATTAGGTTTACTACTCTGTTATTGACTTCTTTTAGCCATTCAGATTTTCTTTGTATATTCTGTTTTCTAATTCGGTAAGCTCTTTTAGAATTTCATATTTCTTGTTTTTTATAAGTTGAATTGACTTACGTAAACATGTATTTTGGAACCATCTCTTTAATGCATAGAACTCTTTTGGGATGCTAATCCTATATATGTGTTCCCGATGTCCATATATAGAATTAGCATTCAAAAAAGTGCTATGCATTAAAGAGATGGTTCCAAAATACATGTTTATGTAAGTCAATTCAACTTATAAAAAACAAGAAATATGAAATTCTAAAGGAGCTAATTCGAAGTAGAGGACAGACTATACCAACATCATCGAATTTACATTTGACTAATTATTACGCCTAAAAACTGTATAAATATAGGCCTAATCGTTGTATTTCGTCACGTTTCAATTAAAGAAGTTTTTAATTATAGTATTAACATATGTATTTAGATCACTCCCTTCCTATTCGACTAGAATAGAGACAACTCGTGAATTTGTCCCGAAGGTGAATCGAACCAGACATTTCCGATTAAAGGACTATCTTCATCAATGCTACTCCGGTTGTATTTGTTAATAGCAATTTTACTAATAAGCAACTCTTTGAAAATAGGTCGAGGCAAACTACAATCGCACCTATTTAAAAAAATTCCTCACAGATTTCTACTGTGATAATTTCTTAAGTTCTAATGTGAATCTGATCTGGGTTCTATTTTTCATAAATAGTTTGAATCTTGATATCGTTCTTCATACTTATTAGGTGACTATAACCGCTCGAGACAAATTTAAACTCGGCCATAAACTACATGTAGGCCTACTCAAAGCTTCAAAGAAAAATGCAATTTAATTATTTTAAAGAAATAATTTTTAATGAGTAGTTCGATTCTTCTTTTTGTAAATTTGACAGGAACTACGCAAATTTTACTGTATTTAATTTAAAATGAAGTCAAACGTTTCACTTTTTTTCGTAAAATAAAATCTTGGCAACATTTTCGATACAAATATCTCTACGTCACAAAAAGTTCTGAATATTTATAGGTTAATATCCTTTCTTTAATCGAAATAATTCGTTTAATCATATAATAGTCCACTAGACTTATCGTGTTGACATAGGACTATAAATTAAATCAGTTAAATCTCAATTTACATTGAATGTGTATTTACTAAATCTTATAAACATGCCAGTAGACTTCTAACTATAAGTATGTTTTTCGAATTTATAAAGTTAATGTAGATTATTAATGTAGCCTAATTAATAAATTCGACAAAATGGCATTCGCTCTAAGTATTTAAAATTTTAAGGTTATATGATATAACAAGTTAATTTTTTAAATAAACTCTGAGCAAGAATAATTCTCTTACACAATTGTTCCATAGACGTAATTTCAGAAGTTAAATAAGCAAAACAAAACAAAAAAATTAGTAAGCGATATTATTCAGAATATGTTCTACAATAATATAAACTTAAGTTATTTATAAATATTTGCGCAATTTTTTTAATTTAAAATACTGTAGTAAATTTGTATTAAAACTATTTTTATTTCTTTAAATCTCACAATTATGGATCAGGTTATATTAATTAATCCAGAAATATTTCGTAAATTTAGAAAACTAAATAATGTATTTTTATTTCAATTAATAATAAATTTATATAATTAAAAAAATTATAGACTAAAATTGTTAACAAATTTTTTCATTAAATAGAAAAAAAGACCACCTAAAGAGAGTAGAGTGAGTGAAAAAAAGTCAAAATTCAATCCTGTACTCCTAGCTGTTTTTTGTGGCCGTATAATAGAGCGAAGAGAACCCCAAGTTTTTAATTTGTATCAGTTTAAATGTTAGTTTATAATTTTTCTGAAGTGAAATGTCGATAATAATAATACGAAAAAATAAAATAAAATTTAATCGAAAATAAATCTGTAGGCATATTTGCCTCCAAAACAGATTTTTATTAATACATTTATTATTTTCTGTTGAACGATCTAGTCGGTTGCATTTTTTTGTTAACTTTGTCAGTCTACAAAAAATCAGTGTGGAATAACTACACAGGTGGATCCAGACGCCCGCAGTTCATTTCATAAAAGCGAGACAACATGATGGACCATTATCTGTCTACCTCTTAACACCTGCACGACTAAGGTGTCGACATCCTTACATGTTCCACAATGGACAAGGATATTAACTTTCGCCGTAACATGTAAGAGCAGCGTGCATAAAGCACGGTCACAACGTAAACAAATACATAAAATTGAGACAACGTGAACATAAAAAGTCTCTGATTTTCCTTTTAGTTTCTTTTATCCCCCGTTGTGTCCACCTGCAATGATTGTGGCTACATTCAACTATGTGAAAGTACAATTGAAAGAGGACATTTATTAATTTAATGTCATTGTCCCATTTCTATGAAACTACACGCTTTTTCTTTTTTTCTTACTTTTTTTTCTATTTTCATTCTCTGAATTCAAATATAAAAATTCCAATAACTTGAAAACAAGATTAGTCTCTTCTTACTATTATAAATCAAAATCAGTATTTTATTGTTTCATTATGCAGTTTTTTTAAAAAGAAAAACACATAAACTAGACGTTTCTTAATGTGAAGAACGTTTAATAACTATATGATAAACCCAGATGTTTTTATGTTATTTTTGTTTTTCTAAATCACCTTTCGTTTGATGAACAACAAAAACTTTTCACTTTATAGGCCTTATTCGACAGTAATCATACTGGCAACTCAATTTTTGAACACTCTTCTACAATAAGAAACACAAGCTTCGCACAAAAGGCGATCTCTTGGGAACTAGGATGAGCTGAAAATCCAACATTGGCTATCATACTCAGCGGGGAGTTTCCTCACTCCACCTGTACTGTATTAAAATTGAGGCAATGTGGCATTGAGAAACGACCTTTAGCCCTGTTCCCATTCAGATTTAATTTGGAACGTCCGTCTCTCGTAGGTGACAAATTGATCACCTCTGCAGTCAGAGACACCTCAGTAGGTCCCCAAACACAAGGGAGGAAATTATTTAATGGGATTATAGAGTGTTTAGTGATCGCGTCTCTAGTGACCCATTGATCATCAACAGGGATTCCGAAGACAGCTTCCGATTTTCTGCAGACCTATTTTGAGTATCACAATAGATATAAAAAAATAAATCTATCTATTATAGACTAGATGTAGACATTTTATAAAATCGAACACAGCTGTTTTCTTTAGAAAAACTTATTTATTTATTTAATTTCGTTATTGATGCTTATTCAAACTGATACAAAATAATGCAAAGCTTATTACTATAGACAATGCATTATCCGCACTTACATAAAGTCCATTATCTTTGAAATCCAATTTTATAAACAATAACATTAACATAAATTAGTCATTTTTTATATATTTGTTTAAGTAGATTATAAAATAAATGTTTAAATATTACACCATTCCTAAATAATGTAAATAGTACAGAATTATTAGTTTTATAATAAAATATGTGACATAATGACCCGAAACTACTTAGAATCACGATTAAATTATTTTTAATGTTTTTGTACACATAACGCGTGTATTTTTATGTACTGTACGTAAAATGGTCTTTGCACTGCGGCAAAAAGTAATAAATATCGTATAATTTATAGATATAAATATCTAATGTTAAACTATGAAATTTATTACCAACTCGAAGCAAAAAACATTATTCAGAAAGCAATTTAAAAACATGGAAGTTAAAAATATTATAAGGAAAATAAACAAAGAATTGTTTAAAATGGAATATTAAATGAGGATGTTACATCAATTTATTTATTCTTAGAATCTTAGCTTTAATTAATCCTGATCTTTAAATTACCCAGGTGAACTTTCAGATAATGATTAGTCAGCTGAATCGAAATAGAAATAGCTTCCTAGTCCAAGTAATACAGTTTAAATTGAAACAAATTGTCTAGTTTTAAATTCTTTAAGCAGTTGTGTCCTGGCTGTAAAGTTTAATGACTTCCTCATTTTTCTTCGGTATCACGGGAATTCCTGAACACCAATTCTGCTGCAGATAAAAGCCATGCAGTCCACTTCACAAAGATGACTCAATAATTCATTACTCTCAAGTCTTGCTACTGTACAACGTTAATCCAATTGTAAATGCATAGAGTAATGTTTTACTGACCCTAGCCAACTGTCACTACATAAAGAATACTATAAGTCCACGTCAATAGACCTTTATCTCTCTTGTTATAGTCCATTCAGATTTATCTTTTTGGAGGGGCGAGCTATTGTGAGATAGCGCTCCGTTTATATTGCCGAAGATGATATAAATACTCATATTCGGCCAATCATGCTTCGGCCGAATAAAAATTCACCATAACTCATTGTCTTCCATCGGAAATTATAGATAAAATATATTTTAATCGCATAATTATATTTGCCTTTAGGTCTTTGCATTAAATGAAAGTATAACCCTCGACTTAACAGTAGATTTTTCATTTATATTCTCAAATTGAAATTAAAAACAAATAAATTTGATATTTTCACGTTAATATATTTTTATTGCGTGTTTAAATTTAATATATTCTGCGTTACAGTAGATTTAGTCACGATATTCGTCTTAGTTTTTAAAGATTTTAGCTTAAATTTTTAAATTAACCCATGAGAAAATTCCATTTGGAAATCAATATATGACTAAAAATTCAATTCATAACTTGCCTGTTAATTAATAGCCGTTAATAATAGGTTAATGAAACCAATAATAGATAGTTTATTATTTAATTAATGATGTTTTCGTAAATAAATTAAGAACTCTAATCGATAATTAATCCATCCTTTTAGGCTCGTTATACATTCATCATTGTTTTCTTAGGCTAACGTCGATTTTGATGAAATTGATGTAATGAAAAATCACCGAAACATCTTCATAGAAAGAAAACTTTATTGAAAACACCGAAAAACATAATTACACATCACATCTGTACATTATATACATCTCAAAGGAAATAATTTGTAGAAAAAAGGACATTTTAAATTGTCTTGTACAATGACGTACTCGTCATCATGCGAATAGATCAAAACATCGGAATGTAAGAGGAATAGGCAAGGAGAATTTTAGCCTAATTATAATAGAGAGGCGAATGATCATCACATTTTCGTAAGAATGATTTTAAATATTATAAAATGAGACTCTTCCGACAAATTTTTGATCAATTCGTGTGTTTTTATACGAGGCGAAACATTTATTCAGAAATGAAAGATCCGAATACGCACACCCAACAGAATTAACAGCGAACAACATTAAATATCAAAATGTGCGACGAAGAATTTTCTTCTCATTTTGAGAAATCGTTCGATAACTAAAACTATCTACAGTTAATCGTCCTATCGCACGTAGGATACTTCTTAAATGTCCTTAATGACTAATAACGTGCATAACTCAAATTGGAAATAATTATTTATAATAGATATTTCTCAGAAGTTTAGAAATTGTTTCTATACGTTTAAAATTGCTCAGTTTTTCGCTAAATTTCTATCATATGTTACAACGTTGCGTTGGACAACTCGAGAAGAATCGTGTGCTTCGAGAAGATGCGTGCTTTGTATTGGATAAAACGATAACAAAACTGGAAATTTAAATCTGTACAAGTCATACTCTCTCTACGTCAGTCTTGTACGGTTGAAAAAGGTTAGGACGAGGTGCATCCACATTAGTTTGACCAGTAGAACAAGCCAGATGTGTACTAAGAGAGATATTGTTCGCACCATTCGGAACTCCCAGGCCGACGGTAGATGGAAAACCAAACAGGTGACATCTGCACGATTCTGCCACCGATGCCGGCGATGTTGGCACGGGACACGTCGTGAAGTGTCCATTTACAATAGATTGGGGATCGGCAGGCGATACTCCGCCGTGTCTACTGCCTGCCGATAGAGTGACTTCTCCGTTGGTGGAACCAGTTGGACGTAGATACGTCGGAGTGATTAAAGATGACTGCGGTCTAACGGGTAAACTGTAGGGACTATATCGTGCGATAGAAGATAGAGCACTATAATAGTTGAATGGTAAAGCTCCTGCCGATAAAGGATAACTATAGCCTGCAGAACCCGCTGTAGCTGCAGCACTGAGCATGTAAGCAGTGAAATGTGGATCCGCGTAAGGCCATGCCAAAGCCATCCTCTGCCGTTTATCTTTCATTCTCCGATTTTGAAACCATACCTGAGAAAAGAGGTAAATTTTATAGGTTGACCCATAGTTAAAATTAAAGGGTATTAATGTTCTAAATTACATAATTTCACGTTTTAAAATAAATATTAAACTCGTAGGCCGACTTTCTTACCTTTATTGTGCTTTCGGGTAAATTGAGAGCGGAGGCCAATTCGCATCTCCGTGGTCTGGATACATAATTCTCTCTACAGAACTCTTTTTCGAGTCTTGCCAGCTGGTCTCTGGTGAAGGCTGTTCTGTATCGTCTGATGGTGTTGACGTCTTGTACGGCATCTGTACAAAAATCCATCAGTGACACATGATCCGGTTGGACTAACAAGACACATATGCCGATGACACGTTACATTATTAAATCAAGTTGAAAATTATATTTAAAAATGATTATCAATTAAGCCTATTGCAATTAAACCTATTGTATTTAATCTAAAACTTGATACAGTTGCATTGTGACATTTTTTCGTACAAATTTATATTTTAAAAAGTGCTTCCTGTTGTTTAAACGAATAATCATTCATTGCACGCTTAAACTTGCTTAGCCTTTTGCTAAATTCTAATTAAATGGAATACCAATTTTAATTACGATTTGACAAATAAAACATTAAATCCTAAAAAGCATTATTAACTGATGCCAAAATCAAACCAGATAATCACAATGCTATTGATATAAATTATATATATATATATATCTGATTCGTGCCATCTTATACAATTAAATCGGCAACAAGTTAATAGTATATTTCGTGATCTATGTAGAGGCTATCCTCACATTTGATAGAATTTCCTCATAGTATAGAATACAGTTATACTTTGAAATTCTGTTTTTCGATAAAAATGAAATGTAAATTGATTCGCAAAATATAATAAACGTGTTAATAATTATTCAATTATTTAAATTTATTACAAAAAAAACCAAATTTCGATATATCTAATAATATTAAAATAAGATTAGTTACTCGAAATAACTATAACAACATGAATGTTTTATTTTCCATTCATAAAAATATTCCTATAATTCGAAAATTTATAATAAGTTTGAGGTATTTTTCGAAATAATTAAAAAAACTAAATTAATTCATATACAATAAACTTAATCACACAAATGAAGAGTGTTTTAAATATCCTCAAGAACTGTTCATTTAATTTTTAAACATGTTAAAGTATCGGAGTGGAATATAATGAAAATAGGTGCTGAATCAACACGAATACCCCTGCCTTCTCACTATACAACACTTCGAGGCTTTTATTCTTGTTCACTGGGGTCAGTTGACCTCACGTGGCTTGTTAGGGTAAGTTTTGACCCCGACAGGTGGGGTTGGCTCATTTATCTCAACGTGCGTGTTGGCCACGCGCCCGGCATGCCTCTTGTACTGTACCACCCCAATTCGTGTCTTCTGTCAGAATCTTCTCTTTATTTTCGGAGCCTTTTCAGCTAAATGGTTGACATTCTCGACATTATGTTTGTATCTGTTACGTAGATACCAAATTTTGTCATTAATTTTATATCGAATAGTATAATTTTACAGCAGCTATTTTAAAAATTTTCTCTTATTAATTGTAGTTAATCTCTATATTCATTTTATTTATAAGAAAACTATAAAAGTCAAATAAAAATTGTAGTTTAATATTTAAAATTTATAAAATTAAACATTTTTTCTCTTGTTCTATAAATTTCGTAGCGAAAAACACATCCTTCATTTATGTCAACAAAGATATGTAAAAATTATTAAAATAAATATGGAATTTTCGATATTTTCGTAATTGAAAATTTCATTAAAATTTTATAAATTCATCAAACCTATTTAACAACTAAATTCTCGTCATTATTAAGAGAATATAAAAACAAAAAGGGTATAGCTTTATGAGCTTTAATTATTTAAATAAATGAAATTATTAATGAAAAATTTAAAATGTCAATACTTGATTTGAACAAAATCTGCGAATGATTAGAGTTGTATCTTTAACAACGTTAATAAAACACCTTTAAAAAGCGTATAAAAATAGATCTTATACAGAAAATTCTTTGTAAATGATTTTTGTTGACTACTCTATGTTCTACATAATATTAATTTAGATAACCTATTAATAAAAATGACTAGAGACTAACCTTTTTTCGTTTTTTCTTTCGAATCTTGAGCAATTTTCGACTTTTCTGGAGAAGACGGCTTATTGTTATGTACTTTGGATGAATCCGTCTCGTGAGTTTGTTTCTCATTTTCTAACGGATTTCCTAGATGAAGAATGTTTTTCCCTGCGATTTTGGACGGTCTCACTACGTAATCGTCCTGAACAGTTGCCAATGAAGTGGCTCTGTCTTGTCCCGTCGCTAAATCTTCAGCCGAGCGAAGAGTGTGCATGGCCGCTTCGGTACGGCTCGTCACACAAATATCACGACCTAAAACAAGGCTATCCACCGTCCCACCCTATTACGGAAGGCGGGTACCTTATCACAGCCAATTACGTATCCTGCCTTCGGGTTGGACGGGAGGTAGTAAGCGTTGATTGATTGTTTTTAAAAGCTTCCCGCTATTGGTTGGTCCAAAGTGAGTTGTTAGGCTCAGACCGGTCAGACTTCGATCTTATGGGTTATTATGGAAGTTGTATAGAAACATTACAGCAGTTAACGGTTTCTGAACGTATAAAACCTACCGATATAAACAATGCTTTTTTTCCCCTCTTCCATTCCATATCGGCTCCTTTCGAAAATATTTTAATATATAAACATTGAGATATTTTAATAAATTATGTGTCGCGAGAGATTTCTACAAGCTAAATAACGCTCGGAGGATCTTGACATATCTATAAATCCGAGGAAAATTATATAAATCAATCGAATTACTAACTGATAACATTTCATATACCACGACTTATTCGAGAAAAGAAAAATATTAAAATTATGATGCTACTCTCGGTTATTTGTATAAACAATATTTCAGATGCCGAATCGACTTAAGAATAATGGAAACCAATTGGTGTCTAATACAGCTAATTGCACCAATAAAAGAGTTTAACGCTTTAATTTTACAGCCTCACTCGCTGCGGTTGGCCGCAGGAGACGGGTCTCTCTCCAACTAAGGATTACCTTAGAAGCTCCCAAATATGGTAATGGTCCCTTAGACAATTTGCTCAAGGATAATTATTCTTAATGGTTTTTCTTCAATAGTTATTTTTTAAACTGGAAAACCTTTCGTTTATTGATGACAATTGAAAAGTAGTTAGGCCTTTTAAAATAATAACAATGACAAACTAATTGTAAAAAGAATTAATTGTAAAATATCTGAAACTAAATAAACGGAAAGATTTGGTTTTATAACAGGAATCACAGACCTACAAATAATTTGTTTATTTTACAGATTTAGAATTTTGTTGAAAGCATCATTCTACTTTTATTTAGACTCGCTTTTGAGTCGAAAACGTAGCCTAACCATTCGCAGCACCTGCATTTTCCTAATACTCTCCGAGGTATTGGAATCACGATTGAAACCTTTTTCAATTCATAACTGAAAAAATACTTTTGTCATCCTATGAAATTTTAATATAGGACTTACTCTTTCGAAAAGTATAAAAATATAGTAACAAATAATCATTTATGATTCCAATAAGTTTGTATTATCAATATTTTAATTACAGATCATGTTACCGATGTGCCTACCTTTTATTTCATTAAAAGTAATCTCTTGTTTACTGTACTGTACAATAATTCTATATGAATTATTTATATAGTTATCGCAATAAAAAATTGTTTTATATTTACATGCCAATACATAAAATTATAAATTAGATAAGTAATATAAATTCTATTAATATTATAATTAAAAAGTAAATATTAAAACATAATTTTGCGTAGACTGCATTAAAATAATGAGCTAAACTTCGCAAGAGTATTTTTTTTCTTTTAATTAAATACACATTTCGCTTTTTAATTTAAAATATAATCTGTAGAACATGTTTTCAGTGAATACTCGTTATAATTGATTATATGGTAAAGAAATATTTTTTAGAAGCGACATCTGTCGAGTAAAAGTTTATTTAAGAATATAAATATTCTTTTTTTACATAAAAAAAATTAAAACTACGCCAAATAATCTAATTATAAAAGTGTTAATTTATACTCATAGCGAATGGACTCGATTAAAGTCATCCGAGTAATGTGTAAATTGGCGCCAAGCAGACCCGGTCATTGCCTGTTTGTCCAGCGATTTCTGATGACGACCCCAATATATGATTATTGTTGGTTCAAAACTATCTATAAAAGAAAGAACACAAGAAATATTTCTACTGTCCTCTTCCAACTCACGTTCCAATGGACGACCGATTACCAACTATCCACCATTGTTTTTGTTTTATGTCCGCTATTAAATAAGAAAACGAAAATCTTATTGTCCAAATCCATAAAATGGACACCGATTGGCTGGACTTCTGGACTCGAGCGGGATCATCCAGACTGACTTATCTCCTCTATTACGGGTTATTGGAATTGAACCAGTCCAAATGCTCTTCCGGATTAAATGGTAAGAGGTAGACGACGATATAAAATGAAGCGGTTATTTTTCTAGTTATTTGCCCAAATGCTTAAAAGATATAAAAATATAAATAAAATATATTTAAAAAATAATTTTGAATTCTTTCTTATTGCACAAGATTGATATAACTTATATAAACATATCAAAACAATTAAAGTTTAATTCAAATTACCAGTTGCACATGCTTAAAAAAATTAATGTTATATTGTTGGACAAATACTTTAAAAAGTAGACTATATATTCAGGTCAATTTTAGCCAATAATTTAGGCATATATCTAAACTAATTGTAAATATTAAATAAAATCGTAATGCCTAATTAACGAGGAATACTTTCCAGATTTATACATCATGTCACATTCTTAATGAAAAATACGTCTCTAATAATATTTTTACAATTTTTCTTAAATAATTTTATAGCATTTGATTAGAATTTTAAAATTGAACGAAAGATTTAGCTTAAAAAAATATCTCTTTTCAATTATATCGTGAAGCCATTCACTTTTATTTAGTCTTTTAATTTAAACAATATCAATTGTATTTCTCTTTTAAAATTATTCTTATAACAATTTTAAAAATATTTCCATAAATTAATTTTTTAAAATTAAATTAAATTAAATAATCTATTAATTTAATTATAAATTTACGTTTTAAAAACATAATTGAATCTTATCCGATTATTATAAGTGCTCTACATGATTACAAAAGCGTTTAAAGTGAATTATGCAGGCCTACATAAAATATGTAATGTTTCAAGATAGAATCCAGCAAAGCTTCGTTCAACTCTTGACATATTTAAAAATAGACAAAATAATCTAATAATTCTGCAGATATAAGAATTAAATAATTATTATTTACTTTATTATGTTTAGTTAAAAAAAAATGAAAATATTTTTCGGATAAACCATTCACAATAAAAGAAATGCGCTATTTAGTAACGAAATTAAAATAAAGAAAAAAAAATGTTCCAACTGAAAATCGATTGGTTAGATAAGAAAAAAGGTTTAAACCGTTTACTTATCTCACTTCATTCTCCAATCAATTGCCAATGACAATTGATATTTTAAATTGATCAATCGATCAATTAAAATCTTTTGCTTCTTTTCTTGCTCGTTAAAGAATCGCCTTGTTTCCGTGAAATTTTAAAAAATTAATTCCGTTTTCTTCTATTAAATCTAATTTTATTATACTTACATTTATCAGTAACTTTATATATTAAAAGACCATTTAAAATACTGTATATTGCCATTCTACCAGATAATTTATAAAATATTAAAAGATTCGGAATTCATCTTGTAATAGTTCTGGAGTAAAACATTACTATTACATAAACTGACATCAAATAATGCTCTTGATTTAAATGGTTTTACCACCATCATCATTACTTTAATTTTAAATATAGCACTGCTATTATTTTAGATAGAAATGTAAGCTAGAAGTTTAATTTAAACTAATTCATAGCATAACGAGGCCAAATTAAGAATTTATATTTATAAAAATTAAGTTATTTTACAGAATATATACAAATATTTATTTGTAAATTTATTTCTTGACGAATTATACGAAACATTGCATTAATCGGTAGCCTTAAGTTAGTTAAATATAGTTCCATTAGGGTATGTTAACTTTATTTCTTAAATTTTAGATTAACTTTATATTAAATTCAAATAATATTAGTTTTAAAAGATATAGAATTTAGCATGTTAAACCGTATTGATATACCAGAATAATAATAATAATAATAATGTAGTATTATAAATCATTAATACATTATTTGACTAACAGATGGCAGCACGGAACAATAATATATTTCAGTTTTAAGTTACATAAGCTTAATAATTTTGTCTTAAAACACGAAATATTTTAATTATATTTTATACAGATTGATTTTAATTTATTAAAAATATTTTATAAGTCAAAAAGATAAAAAAAAATATTACCGGTTATAGAAATGTTTTACGTAATTAGAATTAGTTTTAATTTTAATCACTTGATTAGAATAAAACTAGATTCATTAAACTAATTATTAACAAAATTTTTCAATTTAAATAAACTTAAAAATTTATTTCATGTTTACTAAATAAATAAAGCAACATCAATTGTATTTTGTTTATTTTTCTGTTAATATGAAAAAAAAACTTGCCTTTTCTAACTATTTATAACAGCAAAAGAATATTTTTATGAATTAGAATTTTTATAAAATGTTATGATTTGTTGATTTTTATTGATTATTTATTGATTTTGTTAACTTTCATTAAATAGAAATGTAATTCATTTTACAAACTTTAATACATAAATATATAATTTAATCTAATTGAATTATTCTAAAAACTATACATAATTACAAAAATTCAAATTAAATTATGCTAGCTTACATAAACTATGTTAGTCGTATTTCAAAAGAGAACGAAGTGTAGATCTATATATCTATGTATATGTACAGTATATTTTTTGTTATATCTAGAATCGATAAACAAAATTAATTTGTTTTTATAATAATTCAATCAGAATTAATAATAATTTTTTCCTTTATTTTGAAGAATTTATTCTTCGATTGCCCTTTCTTACTCCTATTCGAAGCAAAGTTTATTTTTACTATATTAAAATTAAATTATAAGCGAATCAATAGATCTGTATAAAATATGAATCTATTCGATTGTTACAAAAGTTTCAAAATCTTGAGAAATGTTCTTAATTAACGAGAAACAATAAACAGAAAGTTGCTTATACAGAATTATATAGATTTTACAAAATTAGTTAAATCTAGTATTCATATATGCAATTTACTTTTTTAGGTGCTTTAAATACACATATAAACTTTAAGTAAAATAATGTATAGTTTTCTAACTTAAAAAATTCTGTAATTGAAGTTTCTTATTCATTAAATATTTATTTAAAATAATATTTAAATTCTTTCAATCTATTGGAATAGCTAGAATATAACACACTAATTGTCTTTTGATACTCTAATCTCAGACACTGACAAGAGACCTTACTGATTACTAAAAATCTGGATATACGTAGACTGTTTTTTTTTTTTTCAAGTTTCGATGGTCCATAAAACAAAGACAAGTGTAAATAACAAAATGAATTTATTACCGAAAATTAGGTACAAACATGGTTACTTTTCGACATAATCACCATGAAGATTGAAGCATTTGTCATATCTGTGGACGAAATTTTTCATTCCCTTGTCATAGAATGTTGCCACCAATGACTCGAAATGGGCCCTAACGTTTTTTTGAAAATCATCATTAGTAGGGTTTTAGTTAGGGACAGAATTAATTATTTTTAAAATATATCAAATATCATGAAATTAAATGATATAATTATTTTTCATTTTTTAAAGTAATTTAATACGTTCTGCAACCTCCAATCATATTAATAATTCTGTTAAGACACATATTAAAAATTACCTTTAATTACATAGAAATTTTCACAAATAGAAAAAAATTATTAAAGTTTGTTGGAAACTGCATACAACAACAACGACGTCTGTTTGTTAACTTATGGCAACGCAACACTTGGGCGATCTGCTAGGGGATGCCTTCCGGGAGGACTTTTTAAGGGAAACTGGCCCCTATTTAGGCATTACAGACGTGAAGAAAACCCGGAAAACTCCACGTGGCCAGCCCGTCCGAGCGAGGCGCGAACCTACAACAAAACTCCTCGTGTTCAGGGTACGACGCTTGGCCACTGGTCAAGCGGTCTTCGTACCCTGAAATTAAAAAAAATGAACTTAGATCAAACTTCTAACTTAAAAGGTCATTTTCGTTTTTTAAATAAAACATAATACAAAATATTATTGTAAATTTTTATAATAAGATTTTAAAAAGCAAAGATGGTCAATACTCCGATCAGTCAATCTGATTCTTATTTTAGTAATGAAAAGTCCCGCTACCGAGAATGCCTTTTCCGATTCAATTGATGTTAGTGGAATCATCTTTAATGCATTTAAGAGAAGACAGGTGTTATATGTTTTTTTTTCACCTGTAGCCTGGAAGATTTCTAGTTCGTTTTTGAGATTGTAGTATTTCTTTTTCTCTCTAGTATTCTTCTAGTATTGATTTGTCTACATCG